CAGTGAAAACGAGAAGGTGGTAATTTCACGGTATTTCAAATCCGTTAAAAATTACTTGACTTGATACATAAATTGGTATTTATTCAACTCATTTTAAGAGCATACTAATGTGCCTTTAATTATAATGGGAAAATGAAGTAACTGTCCTTTATAAAACAACGAGGATTCTTAAACCTTGCCAATATTTTTTAATTTATATATAAAAAAATAATTGTTATTGTTAAAAAAATTTCCATTACAAGTACCTAACTTTTAATATGATAACTAATAATGCATTTTTTTCAAATATTTAGATTAATTACAGTGATTTAAATTAAAAATTAAATTAAACTACTTCATTTATAAAAAATTATCTATTTTTATGAAGTGAAATTATTGTGTAAATTAGGAGTGTACAACCAGCGGCCTGATAAACTTTAATGTGCGACTCACTGAAGCAACTTGAACAAAATAAAAAGATTAATGAATTTTTTTTTCTTCAAAAATAAAAAAAAATTCGGAAATCTATAATTGCGCATTTAGGTTTTTGACGCACCCAATCTCTATCACTGTAGTTTTTCGATTGCTTTTTTTCGGTGGTCAATGCTACGAATTTACGCATAGTTTTGAAAATCCCAATATTTTTAATACGGTTATTCATAATTTCAAATTTTATTTATCACTTTTGACTCTCTTCGTGTATGCCGATTTTATTATAAATCCGATGACTTTTCGCTAGTTACTACGCGTTACCCCGTGATTTAAAAAATTCTGACAATTTTAATGCTATAGTTTCACGGCACACGAGTTATGAATCATGTATTAAAATAATAATTTTGTACGTGCTCTAATTGTGCCGATTTTGACATAAATATAAGAGGTTAAACGTTTTCTTCTTCTTCCCTTTTTGGCAGTTATTGATGTAATGTGATTTTGAATATCCCGATATTTTAACACATATTATAACTCATGAAATTTGATTCTATTTTTTTTAAGTAATTTAAAAAGTAATTATGTATTTTAGCAGAATCGACACCTTCCCAAAGAGAATAATAATAATAAACTTTAAAAAAAAACATAAACATAAATAAAAAAAAAACGAGATGTATAAATTTATATTAAAATCGGATCCCTTTTGCAGAAAAACATTTCAATACGCGTGCACAATTCTATAGTCTCATGAACATGTGCATGTTTAACACACATCCAACCTATTCTTTTTCATGATCACATGATTTAAAATTCACATGTCGTGACGTGATTCGTGCGTTTTTAAAATCATACGTTTTGATTATTCTCGTAATTAAGTCACACATCGTGATTCGTATTTACGAGGTTTAAAATCACACATCGCGATTCGTATTCTCTAATTTAAAAAATCATACATGTTACTCTTCTCGAGTTCTCACAAATCAAAAATCATATACAACGATTATGAAGATGGCTTGAAAAAACTCCATTTTGAGTTAGGCCGCAGATTTCAAGGTTATAATGGCATTCAAACAGAATCAGATATTTTTGCCATGCCTTTCAGCGTAAATTGTGAAACAGTGAGATCGGAGTTGGTTGTTGTTGTTGTGGTTCATTTACGTCGCACTAGAGTTGCACAATGGGCTATTGGCGACGGTCTGGGAAACATCCTTGAGGATGATCCGAAGACATGCCATCACAGTTTTGATCCTCTGCAGAGGGGATGGCACCCCTGCTTCGGTAGCCCGACGACCTGCACGCGAAGTCGAGCACTTCACGGTAGAACAGTTTAACGAGGACCAATACCGAACACCCTCGGTCCCTACGCAGACTGATCCAAGTGGAGATCGGAGTTGGAGCTTAAATTTATTGAGTTGCAATCTAGCAATTACCTCAAGCAGTTGTTTCGAAACATGCCAAAGTTTTAGTTTTACAAATCATTACCAAGGGCTAGTTTCCCCAAATTTCATATCTCATGCCCAAAAATCAGTGATATGTTTGCTCATCATGTGAACAAGTGTTTTCAACTATGAACCTTAGAAAAAATCTATTCAGAAGTAGACTAACGGACAAGCATTTAGCCTCGTTCCTTAAAATAAGTACAACTCACTTCGAACCTCAACACAAGGAACTTTTAAAAATGAAATCACAACATTATTCACCTTATTCTTCTTTTTTAGAATTTTTTACCTAGCCCATCAAACCTTTTTCTCTCTAGATTTTTTGCCCTCGACAAAAAAAGCTTGCCCATCCCTGTTCTAGCTTGGGGAACAGTCTTTAAACAAAATCATTAAATTTTCATTTAATGGCCCGAAAAAGCTATCAGATGATCAAGTAGATAAAATTATCACAATATTTGAAAATTTTGCAAATTGCAGGATAACCATTAAACGATCTTTTAAGCCATTTTCAACTTACACGGACCACTGTGTATCATTTATGATCATATGCTGGGAAATTTGTATATCCTTATATTTTAACAGTAAAAAAGTGTAATCAAGATGAGTAGCGTAATGCAAATTTTAATTAGTTGTTAATATATTAATTGCAAGTAGTGTCATGTTAAAAAATAATTGTTCACAAAGAGTTGTTAACAAGTATCTTATAGTTTTTGATAATTAAGGAAAATAGTTCCTTCAAAATGAATGGTTTCTTATTTTCTCTTCTCTCTCAGTCCGTCCTCTTACAATTTATTAAAAAAAAATGTTTTAAAGTTGGAGTTTATTCCTTACTAAATGTTGAATCTTATTTCGCCCTGCAAAGGTTTTGTTTTAATTGTAATCATTTTTAGTCCTGCAAACTTTCTTTAAATTAAAGTATTCAACTTGCATTTAATTTATTAAGTAGAATATTTAATTATTTTAAGTTAATTATATGAACATTGAAAATTTTTAATGTTAAAATTTATCGTTAAATGAACTTTAGTATTATGCAATGTGATAAAAAAAAACATGAATTTTTCCATTATCTTTCAATTTATCTAAATTTTTTCCCCTAAGTAATCAGTTTTTAATTTTAAACAGTTAAAGGTATTTAATTTCATGCAAAACATATTACATGGTTATCATATTCTAAATACTTGGGCATGCGGCCCTTCAATGGTCAATCTTCGGTGAATGTGGCCCTTCACTTAAAAAGGTTGTGCATCCCTATATAAGCATTGAAAAAATTATTAGAACAAGTTTTAAATTTCGCTGCTATAGTCCATTCCACCTTAAGTTGGCACTGGAGAGAAAGGTAGGTAGACCGGATTACATGNTCTAAATACTTGGGCATGCGGCCCTTCAATGGTCAATCTTCGGTGAATGTGGCCCTTCACTCAAAAAGGTTGTGCATCCCTATATAAGTTTCTTAATCATGTCATGTTAAATAAGTTTTACCCCAAGTAAAAACAAGGCCCTACTAATATCCAAATTCCTTAATTTGCTCTCCTTTTTTTTCCTCAAGCCCTAATTTAATATTTTTAAATTCATTGCAACAAATATTTTATGAAACTTTTTATAGGATAAAAGTACAATTATGCTTGAGAGGATTTATAATTCTCGAACTAAGATATTTCATACATTAGTTCTCAATGTTATATATAAATAAAATGGTCTAAAACGATTTTTCATGGTTATAAAATTGGTAAGGTTCCTTAATTAAAATATAAATTTATTTTTTCATAATTTCCTTGTCGCAATGAAGTAATATTAATCTCTACTATTGTTATAATTCAGTCCATTAAAAATAGCATGCGATTTAAATATTTTGAAATTATTAAATGGCAAATATGTTACATTTATTTTTATAATTAGCTTTATATAAAACTATTTTCTGCCAAAACTGCTATTAGGAATTAATTTCACATTAAATTACTAAGTAATCAGGCAAAAAACATTTATCTTTTGCTTACAGCTGCAATGGTGCACCCTAGGCAAAGGGTTAACTAATTTTAATGCAACCATTTACCATAAGGGGTACCATTTTAAACAAAAGAAAAAATTTATAAAAAAAGAATCAATATATTAATGGAAGGACATCTCTTCTTGTCTCTCAAAAATGCTCTACTCTTGATGCATGGTCTCATTCGAGGAGATAAAAGAACGAATTATTGTTTCTAATATTTATGTAAGACTAAAAAATTGTTTCTATCAATTATAATGATACTGAAAATTGAAGAATTGTTACCAAAACCTTGTACCAAAATAAAAATTAAACAGTTTTTAAGGACTGTGGGAACCCTGTAAATAACGTTGAATTAGAGCTTCAATTATTTAAGAGATTATTGCATAAACTTTTCTTTTTATTAGTGCTTATTTAAAATTTAAACAGTTTGCAAAATTGAACAGTTTCATATACTGGAGATTCGATTGTCATTTTAATAAAACAATGGAATCAATTTGAAGTGAATATGAGCTTGAAACAACAGAACTTATTTATATATTACAGGGAAAAACTTACAAAATTAATTTCCCAACTGTGTCAAGTGTTTAAAATATTATTTTCAGAAATCACTAGTTCTAATAGCTATTTGTAAAAATAAAAAAAAAACTAGAAACTTAAAACAAGATTTTACAGGCATGCACATTAGTTCAATAATAATCCTTTAATTACTTAGGCAACATAATCTTCAGAGTGTTATTTCTAGAATAATAATAAAAAAAAAAACACATTCAAGACAAAAATGTTGGGTAATTTTGTGTAAATTTAATTAGTTTCAGAGCACAGATTTAAATACTTTTCACCTTTGTATAAATGTAACAACATTGAGCAAGTCGACCTCATTACGATTAAAGTTTTTTGCACATAGTGATTTGTAAAGCCCATTTGATATTTGAAATTCTAAATATATAATTTATGAATATAAATAGTTTTTTTTCAGTTAGAATTCTGTAAAAAGTTTCGATGAGATAGAATCTTAACTAAACATCCTCTCTTCGGAAAAAAAAATAATAATACTCGCAAAAAATAACGGATTGCTTACATGATACATTATTAAAAGGTACATTAACTCTGCAGTGTGAGGATTGAAAATTTATTAAAGAACATGTATATAAACACACAGTAACTGTTGAACAAAAACAAAACATGATAGTTTTATTATATACAGCTTAAAGATAACATACAAACACACTTTAGAAACACTGTTGCCCTTTAAAAGGTAACACTGAAGTTTATAACATGCTCGTCTTTCAAAAATTAAATGGATTTGAATATACAGCTGATTGAACCAACTTCCATCACTTAGGACAGACAAGATGCTTAATAATGACAGGCTGCTCCAACTTTTCATCACTAGGCTAAGTAAATGCTCGTAAATTTGGCTTCTGAGGCTCTCCCCAGAATAATGAAAAGAACAAACCTGAAATTCAACTTTTAAAACATGCATGATTTACAACCATTTTCCACATCACCTAAGAGCAGGGCTGTGCACTCTCTATACTTTTTTGAAGGGAAACTTTCAAAATATTTATTTTCATTTCAATTTTCTAAAATGAAAATTTTTTAGCACTGTATAAATAAGCCCTGTTCAAGAGGTACGGTTGCACAGATGCGTTGACCCCTTTTATTAGGTTGTTAAAAAATATATTTAAAAACTGATTATAAAACCATATTGATTAGGGTTTAAAATTTTTATAATTTAACATTATAAATAGTAAACCAGGAGAAAGTAATAAGTACACCATAATTTAACTCAATATGGAACAACCTAACAGCATATAGCAAGGCGGGTTCCCCAAGAGGCATATATTCCTTTTGTGCCATGACCATTTAATACTTTTTCCCACTTAAATCTTCTAATTTTTTTTAGATGGTATCCTAAAAGTTGAAGGGAAGAAAGGTTTACATTCTATAGATATGTTATGCTTTATATTACTTTGTTTTATAAAATTCTTAAAACAAGAACGGCACACTTGTTCAAATTTATCAAAAAAGGTTAAATAAAGAATGTTATGGATCTTATAAAATCTTCAGGCACTGATTGTTGGTTAAAATGGTCATGACACTATACAGTAGAACACCATTTATAAATGTCCCAAAACAACAATTAATAGGCAAAAACATTACTGAACATTTTTCTATACTATACCATTTAAAACTTATTATTCAAAGTTACTTAAGTCTACTGCCATATTTCTACATTTGTGATAAAAATTTCACAACCAGGATTGTTTAACAAAATTTCTTGAAGCAATTTTTCACATTCTGTTATACTGGATCAACCATCCACAGAGCAATCATTAGAACCTAAAATTAAAGTTACCAATATTACTTATTTACAAAATACTAAAAACCAATTATGAAAAACTGCTTCTACTACTGCTCCTACTATATTGTACTTTATAAATATAGTAAGAAAGAACCCCAGCATTATAAAAATAATATCTAAAGACAATAGTAAGTGCATTAACAAATTAAAGTATATTTTATTTTGATAATATAAAATAAGAGGAATGAATTTTTTTTGATTCATTAACAATTACCAATCAGAATTCATGTTTGGCAGTTGAATGCACATTCTTGGAGTTTTTGGTGTGCATACAAAAGCTGAGAATTAAATAAATAGGGAGAAATATGGTTTCCATTGAAATGGAAGCTAAAAAAAGTATATAAACATTGGAAAGATTGTTAGGGAATCACACTCTTTCTTAACAAATCCAGCTATTCTATTTCAATTTGAAAAGCCGAACGAAAAATACATAAATTTTCAGGAACCTTCTCATAATCTATGTAGGATGTAACTAAAAAAATTATATATTATTTATTCATAGAAAAGTTACTTTTTTTAAACACAACTGAGTTCTATTAAAAGGTAATTGGGAACTGTAATAAAATTTTTAAATTCTAAATAGGAACTAACTTTTATTAAGACACAACTCAGAAATCTAAAGTCTTAAGGACCCCTAATTTCTTATGTTTAGAGGAATCATAACAAATTTATGTGAAATTCGACAAGGTACTCACCAATATGTAGTACAATCACACCAAATCCACTAAACTCCTTGATATTCTCCATTAAACCTTTAATTTTAAAACCAGGAAGCTTTCAAGCTGCACGTTTGACCCAGTATTTACTGTGTCAAACCCAGTATTGGGTTAAACTGGGTTCCCAGTATTTACTGTGTGGAAGGTGGGGTTTCAAATATTTCAACATTGATTCCCCCGAATCATAACTAAAGCCTTCATCTAAATGAAAATTTAGGACAAAAAAAATTATATATCAGAAGAAATACTCATAACATACTTATGAAACAAATACTAGAGCACAGAGTATGTTAATAATTAAATGTTTTTAAATATTTAATTTTACTAAATTGAATTTAATTGTAGTTAATTTTTAAACATATCTTTGATTTAAATGAATGAAACAAAATTAAGAGCTTAAATTACACTTCTAAATGATTGAATTATGCATACAATATTACATGTATTATACAATACTGAGTTATAAATTACACATGTTTTAATAGTTAAACAGATCACATGTTTTTTGTAAGCAAATGCATGCCCCCCATCTGAACACATTTAGCTATAACAGTCTGTTATAAATTTTGATATCCGAAAAAACAACACAGTAGATTCATGTACCATAACATGTTGCAAAATTGTAGTCAAACATTATTTACACTTACACGATTAATAGAAAAAAAATTACATAAGTATATTAACAATCAAGCGATTACAATATTTAACACTAAAAAAGGAAATAAATAAATGAATAGTATGGAATAGAATATTTAAAATCCAAACAAAAAATTAAAACTTTTGAAAATAATAAAACCCTACAACATACCATAACAGATGGGATAACATGAATCTAATGCTTGCGAAATTAAATATAATCGTGGTTTTTTTAATATTAGCTATACGTTATTTATTCAACAGTTACGCATGCATAGAAAAAAAAAACACTTAACTACATCAATAATCGAGCGATTTTAATATAAGATTTAACACGTGATCTAATAAACAAATACAACATAAAAATTAAATATTTTTCAAATTCAAAACTTATAAATAAACTTACCATAAGAGATTTAATAGATTCTCCAAGTCTTAAAATCAAGTATTAATTACTCAAATTAATAAAATCAAGGTGTATCAATATCTAATCTCACACGTGTTACAATGAACTGCGACACAACAATGGAGCCAAAGCACAATGCAGGGCAAAAGCACTGTCTGGCGACTAAAACAGCAAATAATGTCGCCACGAGAAATAAAATAGTAACCTTTCAATCGTTGCTACCATATAAAACAGACCTTCACTTCCTTTTACTCTTATGCGAATATCTACAAAATTGGACGTTAGTATCTCCTTGTTGCCATTCTGTAGTAGAAACTATGGTATAAAATTAGCGCATATTACTTCAAAATAAGAAAGTAATATAGTTTTTATTTTTTGGCAACACTTGTTTTCTAACCTTTCAGAAATTTTGATGATTGCGTTTTGTTTAGTAGTTATGTTATGGGAGGCGGTTGAAGAGGAGTCAATGTTCTCTTTCCTACAGATGATTTTCTTGCTGTTCAGTTTCTGAATCATTAAAAATTATTTACGTTTTAATGAACACTAAGGATAAGCTATGATATTTACATATTTTTAGAATTTCAAATGCTTGAATGTCAGGTGGTTATTTCTCTATCACGAACAAATTTATTATATAATGTTGAGGACACTTACGAATCCTACAATAAACATAGAACAAACTAATCATAGGTATTTATCTTTAAAAACTGTTATTATCTAATCTTTCAAATGAATGTGATTTTTCCTTTTAACATTTTCAGAATAAATGGGATAAAAGCTCTATAGAAACAAAAAAATGCTAGATCCTCCATTTATTTAAAGTCTTGTCACTCATTTTGCCATAAGAATTTACTGGGAATATTTCTTAAAAAATTATTTTAATAAGTGATATAATAAATTACTAATACATTGATTGACAAATAGCGCTTCAGAATGTGTCTGGTGATTTTCAAAATTACGTTTTACTTAAAAATTGAAGATCAGGCATTTTTTTATGGTGTTCCATTTAATTTAATTTATCTATTGTAATTTTGTTTTAGGAACTGAATAAGATGTCTGTTTATACCTCAAAAAATATAATAAATGAACGTATTTTTACCTTTTTTTAAAGTCCCATCCTAAATTTCTTATGTACAGAATTATTGACAAGTTTGAACACTTTTATTTTAAGGTCTCGACAATATTTTAATTGTTAATTTTGTGTGCACACTTGTTTATCTATTAAATTTTCCGAAAATTAATCTAAATTAAGAGTATTTTTACCTGTTATTCAAAAATAAAAAGAAAGCTGTATTTAAAATTTTATAAAAGTGAAAGGATATAAGCTTTCAACTTTTTCACTTTCCATAAATAACTAATCTAAAAAAGTGTCTTGATGAGCTATTATAACAGCAATATTAGAAGGTAGTCTGTCAATACTTAAAATTTTCTGATATACAAATTTATATAAATCTCCATATAATTTTTTAAAAAAATATATGAAGTCAATTCATAATATAAAAGCTTTTATTTATAAGCCACCATCAGTTGGTTATTGATTATAAGCAAAGATAATATTTTAAGTAACTCCCATTTAATTAAAAAAGTAGGTTACAACAATAACTTCACTTACAATTTAGGCATTCTGTTTCGTATCTACCCACTGAATGGGAATATGATAATAACGCAATTAAGCATTTAGATTTTAGATATGCAGTTAAAATATAGACAAATTTCATTGCAAATAACTTTTGCAACCTAACAATTTAAAAATAAACATAGTCTGGAAAGTTTAAATAGTAGTATTTATAATGTCCACATGAAACATTATAATGCATTTTCAGTGTTTCAGTGCATTTTCAGTTAAATTTTTCTTTGGGGGAATGCTGAAAATTTCAATATTTTGTGTATATTTTTTTAAAATACTGTTAAAATTTTTAAATTGATTTAGGATAGATAGAAAAAGATGTTAGATGTTATGGAAACTCTTGTGTATTTAATTGCATTTAGTATAAAATTCTCTAATTACAACCACTATTAAATAAAGTTTTCCTTATGTGGATCCTTATGTATTATGGGTATTTTTGTTCAAATATCTTTACAGTAAGAAATGGTATTGTACACAAAACGTTTTCTTTTCAACCAACTTTGAAAGAATAAAAAATTTTTTATACATGAAAAAAAAATCTGTATGGTGATCTGTTTTAGAATAGTTGCTCGAAAGTTATAACTTGTAGCTACCTCTGGAAAACCTCTACATATTTCTTTAAAAAAAATTGCCTGTTTTGTATTCATTTGGCAGTTGTAGTTGGTGCAACAGATCATGATAAGGAATAAGTTCCGAAAATCAAAGAAATGAGAGTAAATATTCCAGTAAAAAAAGGTTGTACAATTTATAAATAGGGATATTTCCATATTGTATATTTGTTACTCTTACCTACTATTGCCAAGGTGCCCAATTGAGTTTAAACTTGCTAATTTAAAAAAAAAACAAAAAAACTTGTAGAGGTTTGCCGGAGGTGACTACAATTTTACAAGTTATATCCTTTGAGTTGGTCTCCTTCTGTGATGTGTTGTTTAGTTTCTTTTCGGACCACTTCTTAGAAGTTGTTAAGACATGGAGAATATTTCGACATCTATCATAATATGGTAATATTTTCTATAAATAACTGTAAAATTACTAAAAAGAGGGATTTTATTGTAAAACCAATGAATTGATTCCATTGCTAACCTCTCTCGCATATTTTGTAGATTATCGTAATCAAAGTATAAATTTAAAAAAAAAAAACATTAGAAAAGCCTGCTCCAGATTATTCATGGCAATTTATCGCGTTCGTAGAATATCTGAGTAATTTTGGACAATTTCAAATAAAGAATTAAAAGGGAAAGAAATAGTTATTCTATAATTTAAGAATCTGTCAAATTTTTTTCGTAGAATATCTAAAAGTGATTTTGGGCAATTTAAAATAAAGAATTAAAAGGGAAAAGAAATAGTTTTACTATAATTTAAGAATCTGTCAAATATTTTTCTTGTTGCATTATTATATCAAAAAGCTGCTAACATAATAATAATAAAACAAAAGCATTCATACGGCAGTAGTATTAAATCTCTTACAAGCAGGGTTGGGTTTTTGACGTCAAAAAGTGGTTTTTGACATGACAAGGGTATAATACTGGTTTAAACCGTCAAAAACTGAAGTTTGCCAAGAAAATATATAAACTTCAGAACTACCAACAGTTGCCATGCATTACATTGAAATTTAATTATACTATAGGTAATCAGCAGGTTTTAAAATATTTTTTAATTAAAATTAAGGTAAAATAACAGATTTAAAATCTCAGAAATTTATATTCAAATGCATGTGCAGAAAAATTTTGCACAAAAATTTTTTAAATATTTATATTTTGAAAAAAAAAATTTTTTTTTTTGATACTATGCATTTTTGACATATAAGGAACATATAACTAATATTTATAAGGAACTTACAAGTTATGTTGTATAAATACAAACTTGATACAAGTGTATAAAAAAAAATTTTAATGTTATACCGAATATCTTTATTATCCAGTATGTTAATTTGAATTTAAAAGTAGTTATATTTATGAATAATGATAAATATAATTCATATTGTTTATTATATTTATTTATAATTATTACACTTATCATTTTAAAACAATTTTTATCTCTTAATTTTTTTTTCTCCACTTGTATTAAGAATACAAATAATGCATATCTTGAAAGCAAGAAGTAATTATTCAACAGCTGAATATTTAGATATTCAACAAAACTATATAGTATTCAGCAAAATGAAATTCACAAGTATTTGGATAAACTAAATTTTCAGCATAGTAAATGAATAGGCTGAATATACTGTAAATCGACACTAACTACTCTGTGTATTTAACAGAAAGCACTTAAATTTGTATTGTCTTATGTTAAAAAGATTATTAAGAAGATTTAAAAGAATATTAAAAAGATTTTTCTTTAAAAGATGTCTAATGTACAAAACTGCTAATGTTTATCTTTAAAAATGTCTAATTTTTAGTATAATCTATACTATACACTAAATTTGGTTATAAATAAATTTCTTAATAATATCACTGCAGATTTTCAATAACACATGAAAATGAATACATAATATTACAAAAGATGTGAGCTTTCAAAAGTACAAGATTTTGGTTACTATTCAAAATATAAGTGTTTCTTCAAAATTTTTAATTTATTTTTTCTAGAGCATATTTAGAAACACTATCCTTTATAAAAAATATATAAATTTTATGTATTAATTAACTTTCACATATGAATATAGGTTTTTGACATTTTTGACAGTGAGGTTTTTGACGTGACGGTTTAAACCATGGTTTAAACCGTCAAAAACTTTCACATGTCAAAAACCTGCCAATCCTGCTTACAAGATAAAGCAGTTGCATATTTTTTAAACAGGACTCATAAAAATGTTAATGAAGCATAAATTCTTATATTTAGGATTCATTAGCATTATTTTTAAACAATTTTATATCTATAGTTGATATTGAGAAGTAAATGTATTTGAATTATTTAATGCCATCTTACTAATTTTCAATCTGACATTTCCAATTGATAATCAAGATTAACAATTGTATGTTGTAGTGTAAAATATAAAAATTAATAATAGGATAAGTTGAATATTTTTGCAGTAGGCAACCAACTTTGTGATTTACTGACTGAATACTGACTTGAACCTAATGATCAAAACCAGCAGTTACCCACTTTTTTTCGGCAGTGGAAGCCTAAATAATCAACCTTTTTGCAGAACTCTGATTTTGTAAATGAAGTTTATTAAGGTAATAGTGAATGTTATAATCTATAAAAGACTATATTTTAAATATTTAATTAGAGGAATGAATAATTTTAATAGTTATAAAACTAATAATCTTAAATTACTTTTTATGTCCGATAGTTAAATTTGCTGTCCTTGTGCTATATTTAATCAAGCAATAAATTTGTTTTTGGTGTATTTACATAAGCTGAAAATGAATAAAATAAGCCGAGTTATGATTTACTTCAAAATGAAAACTGGAAAGAACTGCTATAAACATTGAAAATGGTTTTTAAGGAAATAGGAAACATGTCTTTATTAAAGAATTTAATTATTTTATTTTGATTTGGAAAGTGCAATACGAAATTCTTATACAATATTTTATATAATAATCATTTTTTTCATAATTTATTCAATATACTGTTATTAGAAATATATTTCTTTTAAAAAATGCCATTTCTATTTCATTTGAAATAATTTCATAAAGGCAACCAAAAGGTTAAATAAATTATGAATTATAGGTTGTATCTAAATATAATCAGAGGTTTCAAAACTCATCATGGTTATAAAAAGTACTAACTCACGGAACCTCTTTAACTCTTTCACGGAACCCTAGGATGACATGTAACACTATTTGCGAACTGTTGATCTAAACACTGCCCAGGTTTTTTAAAGCTCTAATCATGTTCAAAGGTTTTCCTATTTGAAATAAATTATAAATAAAATTTTGTATAAAATATTCGATTAGCTTAATTAATTTATTTAATTGTAAACTTGAAAAAAACAACAACTATATATTGCATAAAGTCTTACTTTACATAAACTCCTTCAATCTGGATTACCTCATGTTAAGATTTTATCTCTTTTCTCTTGACTGCTATTTATGCATTTTCTATGAGAAATACCTATTAAGTAATTACTTTCTCAAAGGTAACAAACATTTCTCAAACATTTTTATAAATAATGTTTATCTGTCACTTTTTGTAAACATTTTATAACCAGTGCAAGAACTTGACCCCCGTGGCAGAAATTTTTTGAGCTATCTGCAACACAGCTCTCTAGCTCAAATATCTTTCTGCATATATGTTACTAATTTAAAATAACGAAAGCCCTATGTTTACATAGAAAAAAACTATAATTTTTTTTTTAGTTGAACATGTAATAATTTTTTATTCTAATATTATGGGTGATATTCTTGCATTTTATTAGAGGAGGGACGCACAAACTATTTCCATCTTCGCATTTTGTAAATAAACATCACTATAAAAAAAAATGATTAAAAATCATGAAATTGATGATAGGTAATGTTTTAGATTTTTTAGGAACTTGCGTCTGTTTCAGATGTTAAATTTGAAGAAAAATTATATTATGAAGTGAAGCATTTAAAGTATTATCATAAATTTGTTAAGAAATTGGAAAAAAGCTCGGAGAAAACCATTTTTTTTTAAAGTGAGTAATTGTTTTAATTATATTTGGTTTTACACAATTAGGTTACTCTTTCTTTTTTAAAATGTTTTTATATTTATTTTTTTAAAATATAAATTTCTTGGTACTAAACAAAATGAAGATTATTTTATGTCAATAATTCACATCCATTTTAATTAATTGGATAATATTTTTTACATTCCTACTAACCAGGGTTAGAAATTAGAATGTGACAGACGTCAATGTCACCTAAATATTTTTTCTTAATTGCCAATGCTGTTCTGCTAGGAGTAATTTTAAAATTATATTTTTATCCACAATATTTATCTTTTTTTATCATAGTACTAAATAACTTTTTCTAAATAAGAATATTCTGAAAATCACGCCTAAACTTATATATTTTTTTAAAAATACATAAACAACACCCAAGTCAGGGCTGGATGTCCAAAAAATAAAATTTAGGAACAAAATTTCCTCTAAATTTAAGGATGCTGACTTTAAATAATTGACTTCTCTATGTATCAAATCAAGCAAATCTATTCAATAAAAATTAAAAATTTACTCCCCCCCCACTTGAGAAATAAAACAATTCATATTAACTTCTAACATTTATTTGATAAAGGGAAAAGTGCATAATTAGAATATAATGAACTTTCTATTTCTAAATACATTCATTATTTTAAAAGTCAAATTAAAACATTGAAACTTGGATAAGTAATATTTGGTTTTATGGTGATTAATAATTATTTTCATGGCGAATAGTTACAATTTTTTTAAACACGGTAATTATACTTTCATTTGCAGCATAAGCCATCATTCGAGCAACTTTTGTGCCCTTCCACTTTTTGAAATGACAAGTTTTAATCTTTCATGATCCTCTCCGAGCAAACAATGGGCACCATTTTCTTCTTCAGTTAAACTATTTTCAGCCTCAGTCAGCTCAGCTAACTTTGCCTTCATTTAATCATTTATTTTTAAATAGCATGAACACGAATTGGGATATGTGGTTATTAAATTGCGTGATGTGTGATTTTTAATTCACAGGAATACAAATTGTGTTGTGTAATTTTTTAACATGAGTATGTGTGGTCTCAGTGTTTTCACTACAGTGCGAGAATCTCGCATATTTTTTTCTTTTCTCGCATTAAAAAATGATTAACGCGAGAAGTTCGCGCACTCTATTAATCAATTTCAAAATGCGTGAATCTCTTGAATTTTGGAAAAAATTTCGTCTTGCACAAATTTTAATAAAATCCGCCATTTTGAAAAAGACATAAAAACAGCTACGACAAGTGTTGAGAAAAAAAAACATGAGTCCTTTATAATAAGTTGTTTAAAGTTAGCTCCATTTTTAGCTGTAAATGAATTACCGAACTCCCTCACCGACAATTTACAGCAATTTGTAAAAGTTGAAGTCTGTGAAAACTATGCTGGAAGACCTAACAAGAAGTATGAACATGGAAATAACTTCAACGAACTTCACTATACTATAACAGAAATAATTGAAAAGCCTATACTGGCAGATGTAGAGGATAGGAAGGTGCGTGCACAATGCTACAAATTTAATTAGTGATTCCGAATAGTTCAGCATCTGTCATTTAGCACCCAAAACCAAATTAAAACAAAATATCGTAACAGATTTGACTGATTAGCATTTGAGCAACATAATGAGAATAGCTGATGAAAAAGTAGATGTAGAAAATTTTCCATATGATGATGCAATAAAAATATTCAATGGTTTAGAAATTAGAAGATGTTAAAAATTTATTATAATTAAAGAAATAATTTTTATTTGTTTTTTTAATTTTTAGAAATCTCACCCTGTTTTTGAGAAAGCGAGAAATTCTCTCCCATTTTTTTTTCTGTCATGAAAACACTGGGCTTTTTAATTGCTATGTGTGATTATTAAATAGCGTGGATATGAATCACAATGTGCCAATTTTAAATTGTGGGAATATGAATAATGTATAATTTTTAAATTGCAAGATGAATCAAATGAAATGAAAAATAATTGGTATCATAGTCAAAATCCTCTGATTAGGAGGAGCCCAGAAACTCAAGCATGTGATGTTATGCCAGGGATCGGCAACCTGTAACTCGCAAGCCACAGGTGGCTCTTATGATGTAAAGTTGCGACACTCCAGTTCCATATGAAAAATTAATAATTTGTTATCAAAACCCTTAAAAATAAGAAAATATATTAAGTACCTAATTTCTCAAAAGCTTTCTATTTTTATAATCGTTAATTACAAACCGCTACGTTCAGGCCCGTCGTCAATGTGGTTGGGGGGTAGAGGGGTGTCTCATTCCGAGTATTCACTCAGAAAAGTGGCAAGTCTGTTTGAGCATGCTGTTACCAACACTATGAAAAGGCGCAAGAAAAGGATGGTGCCAACGACTCTGACCAAGCAGCAGACAAAACCCCGGAGATTTCTGTCAACTTGAAAAATCCAGGGTATTTTAAAAGTGGTTAGCTAAAAATGCTTTTTTCTCACGTTCTATATTCTTCTATATTTGTTCATAGCATTTGTTTTTATGATAAGTTCAAACTGCTATCCTTTATGAACAAAACTGTACTAATGCTTATTTTATTGAAAAAGTGATGTGCTTAAAAATAGAGCTTCAGTTTTTTTTTGTTAAATAATTTTTTTTAGCATTTTTGTAACTATGTTGATGTATTTCGTATGTATTTAATGTTTTTTATATTATCTTTTAGACTTAAGTTAACAGTTTTCCATTTGTTTGAGCTAAGTTAATTATTGGTAAAAAGAAACTTAATATTTTTGTAATAATGTAAAAATTCAATTCATAGTTTTGTATTAAAAAGGCAGAATAATTAACAAAATAAATATTAAACAAAATTGTACTTTAACTGCCTTAACTAGAAAAAAAAAATATTTTGTGATTTAAGGTTATTAAGTAAAATAGTGTGTAAAGTGATGTATAAAGGAAATAACGCCTTATTTATTTGCTTCATTTTTTTATTCTTTATAGTAAGGTTCATTTTTTTTTTATATTTTAAAAAAAGACTTAAACATTCTTTGATAAAACAGCTTTAGGTATTTACAAAATATAATTTTTACAAATATTTATTTATGATTTATCATCCTTTAATGTTTGAATACATAGTTAAATTTTTTAAAAAGTTTTATTTATTATTTATATTGTGTTATTTTCATATAAAAAAATATTTGGATAAAAATTTAGCATTTTACAAATTATTTAAGGCAAGAATGCGTGAAAAAAGTTATCTGTACTTCCAAAACTTGTTAATTTTTTTTCTAAAAAAAAAAAAAAAAAAAAAGGAAAAGGAAAAAAATTATTTCTGTATCCCTATTCAAGATTTTAGTTACAGTTCTTTTAGTAATAATAATGTAAATTATAACACAAATAATAAAAATGAATAAAATTATTAAAAAAAAATGAAAAATAAAATTTTAATAATAAGCATTAAAAATAAATAATTCGCAAGTAAAATTTCTAAAATTAAATAAATATGCATATAATACTTGAAATGCATTAAAAACAATCATACTTAGATTAAGATTTAAAAAAAAAAATTCTCAAGTCATAATTGATGTCTGATAATTTTTCAGTTTAATGTTTCAGTTCAATGAATAAATACTTATTTAATTTTTATCGACATTTTTTAAAGCCTTTGATGTGTATCACAGGCAATTATTATGTTGAAGTGTTATTTTATCACTTTAATACAAGATACTTATTCAGAAGGTTAGCAATATTTATTCACCATAGCTGTTCTATTTTTCATCCAGACTGTTGCCATCCAACATACAAGAAATGATTTATAATAATCTTGCTTAATCGATCCATTATCGATTAAGAATAATGCTTCAGAGTATCCCCCCAGTGACAGAGAATTTTACTCTGAAACGACATAATATTTCACATAAAATTTGAATATTACACTATTTACATCATTGATAAATAATATTTTATACTAAACAACCTTGCTCAGTTATAATCAGGGACGTAGGTAAGGGGGGTGTTCAGGGTGTTCAAACACCCCCCATTGTACAAGGCAATTTTCCTTTTTTTTTAATACTATAAATAATTTTTCCTTAATTTTAGAAAATGTTTAAATATTTTATTTACTGGAAAAAAAAAATGGAGAATTCTCATGACATTTTATTTTGAGGCTTTTATTAGTCTGTAACAGAAATAAAATAATCACTACTGCCTCTTTGCTACCCATTCATCAAAAGAGCAATAAACGCTTTTCTTCAGTGATTAAATTAGATAGCATCCCTTTCCTCATTGATTTACCACCCACAAAGCTTCTCCCCTCAGAAAAGTAGCCAGCCCAGCTCATATTACTCTAAGGGAAAATGTTCTTCGTTTCTTCCAATGAGTTCTATCTTATCTCATCTACTTTTTAAAATATCGGCTATACACAGATCCTATTTACGGTCATAAAATGCATGCCTCAAACAAAGAATTCTCTTGGATTTCTAGGACTGCATATATATGTTAACCTTTTCAAGACATAAAAACTTCCTTGGCAATTTTTTCGGTCATTCTGTCTGGGAACTTTGTTTTAGACACTCATCCTAAAAGCTCTAAGTTTTAGATTTTTCCTTTTGTTTAATGTAGCATTTTATTTAAAATTTCGTTTCATATTTTCTTTCTGATTAATTTTTATTTGTTAATTTCATCCGTTAATTTTTAATTTGTATTGTGTAATTCTGTTCCTGTAAATAAAACGTGATATTTTATTGGCTATAAAAAGAACTTGAATCAAAAATATTGGAGGTAAGCAAATACTTGTATTAAATCAAGCTTTCCGCATATCTGTAACATTTATAATGCTTTTATATTTCGCATATACGTAACATTTAAACTGTACAACAAATAGATCTATTTAGTAAATTTGATTATTCATGCATAATTTTATTTATAATTCTCAATTTTTGTTCTCATTTTATGATTATGAAATCTGACTTAAAAATATTTGAAATTCTATACTGAAAATTGAAACAACTTTATTATAATTCAATCAGAAT